ACTTTGATTTTGAAAGAGACTTTTGTTGTTTATTTTAAAATTTATAAAATAAATCTTTAATCAGTTGTTTGAGCAGTATTCAAAAAAGTGGCTACTGAATGGTCTACCTTCACACAATTTAATTTCTAGACTAATTTCTAGACTACTAGACTACAATTTATTGAAATCAGATTTTCATTTTTAAAAAATTAGAACTCATGAAGTTGAACGGTTGTAGACAGATTTTACATAAAAATGGAGACAATACAAAATTTGTTTTATCTAACAAATGACACCAAAATCTAGTTAAATACATTCAAGTCCAGCCAAGACGCGCGTGTGTGTGTGATGGTTAAGCTGTTGCTTCAGCGGACGTGCGACTTTTATCCTGCTGAAAGGTGTTAATTGAGTGGCTTCATTTTCTCAACGGAAATGCCCATCAATTAAGGTAATCACGCAACAAAGTCACACCGCATGCCACGCCCCCGAAAAGCGTCCGTGCCAAGGCACTGGCACAGGTCGCCGACCACAGCAGGGCAAAGAGACCAGAAGCCAGCCAGAGTCAGGGCCAGAGAGTGCGGACTGTCTGTGCTGTGGTCGTTGGCATTAACGACGGCCGTCTAAAAAACTGCGTGACTGACACGCCATGTCCACGAGAGCATGTCCAAGTCGAAGTCGGACTGCCACTAGCCCGTTGGGGGGTGTGTGCGGGGTGGAGGGATTGGGCTGGGCACGAGCAAGGGGAGTCGGTGTTGGCTTTGTGCTTGGCTTTGTTAGCCGGACACAAAGGCAAAAAGCGCTCCTAATTGGCCGGCTAACTGAAAGTGGCTGCGGCTTGCTCTATTCACATGTCAATCAAAGCGACACACACAAACACACACACCCTCAGGCACAACCCATTTGGGGATATCAAATTCAAAGAAAATTCGCCTCCCGCTGTGACAATCAATTCATTACAAGCGCCAGTTGACAAATTTCAGAAATGCCAAACACAGAGCTGAGCCCAAACATGAAAGCTGGGAAACGCTGAAAAAGGCTTCAATCTCTCTCTCTCTCCCTCTCTCTATCTCTCTTGCAGACAATGCAAATATGCGAGAGCGCATAAAATGAGCGGAGGAACGTGCCGCAACATCAAATGATGAGATTATCGTAAACTCGCAGAGACCATAAAGCAGCAACAGCATCCGTCTCGGAGCGGCTCCTAGAACGGGCCTGTCCTGGCCGTAAAAAACGCTTAATAGTCCATTAAAGGGATTAACACAGGCGGGCAGCAGCCGGCAGGGCCAAATAGCTGAACAAATTCCACGACATGGGCCATGTCAATCGTAAGCCTGGTCTGGTTGCCCGAGATACTCGATGCTAAAAATCAAACAGCGATACGATTCCCACACGGCCAACGCTGCGTATGAGCTATATTGAAAAGTGTGCACAATCGAATTGAGAGAATTCTTTATTACTTGCTGGCGGGCGGTCGGGTTGTAGGTCGCAGGCGGGCAAACGGTCGGTCGCAGGCTTAATATAGGCAAATTAAACTAAGCTCGGGAAATTGCGTTTCAGTCACGTTCCAAGTAATACACAAAATGGCTCCATTTCCATTCCATTTCGGGGCAAAAGCAAACCAAAGCCTGAATACGAGTATAAACACATGCAATTTCCAGAAAAAACAAAATACTTATTCAGATGATGAAGACGAAATACCCTAGCTATCTCATCTTAAATGAAATGGAGTATATAATAAAAAAAATAATTATTAGTGACGAGGACATTAGCGCTAAGAAAATAATTTATATAATTTAAATAACTGAACAAAAACGTAATGAAAGCTAAAATTTGTTTATGTAAATTTATTTTTATTATAATTTATATATTGTCACTCAACTTATTTAGAACCTAATCCGTTTATTTGAGCGTGGTTTTCTTAAGAGATACTGGACGTAGTTAAGAGTTTAGTCTATGACTTGTTGGATCCAATCCAAATATGAAAACAAAAAACCAAATTAAAAATAATAATAAAAATGAATATTCGGATATTATAAGTATGACCTTTTTATTCTATAAAGAAAATATCTTAATCTTGGCAATAAAATATAATCAGAAATGCCTACTTCCTGCATAACAAACTCTGTATACCCTTCGGAAGTGTAGAATAGCTCGAACACTCTGAAAATAATGCAATAAAAGTGACATAAAAATAAAAACCCACGCCCAAAGCACACACTGACGCAGACACACACACACACACACACACACGCACACATGCTCCCACAGCATTTGCAATAACATAACAGGCAAATCATAGCGAAAGCATAGAAAAAACAAAACAGCAAGAAATCATAAATGTAATTGGGAATTTTATGCGTCAACGGGGGGCTGAAACAGAAATGCCTTCCAACCCTCCAAAGAGCAGCTGCCCCTCCTCCTCCTATTCTTCAACACCCTGCAATGTTGTGCAAATAAAAGTTGAAATTGTCGCAAATTCTTAGAATATAACAAGAAATTTTCCACAAAGCGCGCAAACTGGAAAAGCCGCTCGTCCCAAGCAAATGTCTCAAAATTTTCCCACCCCCAACTCCTGGCGCCCTTTGAACGCTGCGCGTATGACGTTGACGCTTTCGCCATTTAAACTTCCTGCGACAGCTGTGAGTTAGACTGAAATACACACACACACGCATTCACAATGGGCGCCTGCTCGGTTTATTGCCAGCAATCAATTAAAACGGCAAAGTCATTTGTGACAAAAACATTCACAGACATTTAACTTTACGGACCGAATTTGTTATATACGCCGTAGAAAATCGATATATGCACATATGTGTGCACATACATACATATACACATATGTATTGTAATATTTCAATATGATTCTGTGTAAAGCAGTTTCTGGTTAAGGTTTCGAATGATTCGTTGAATCCAATTACCGAGTCAAGTGTCAACATCAAAGAGATTAATTATTAAAAATCATAGTCTATAAAATATAACATAATATTCCATTAAATGCAGGCAACATGCAACATAATTGAGCGCACAGTAAGTAGAATGTTTCGACATAACCAGAACTGAAAAGCAGCAAAAAAAGTTAAAGTAATTTTATAATATATTTTTTATATTTTTTAAACTTGTATTATTATTACAAAATCAATCGCGATTTAGTTATATTATTAGTAAGTTGTATATAGTTAACGAAAGACAAATAAAAAAACTAAACTGAGAGCAATTTAACTCTGTGATTTTACATTGAAATAAACAAAACATAATTTATTAATTACAATTTGGAAACATGTCAGTCAACACGAAAACCTGTCAAAATTCCCCCATTCAAAGTGAGGCCTCAGTCGAACCGTTGGCAAACAAACCCTTGCAACAGGGCATCGGAAATGCACCCCATTAGCAAAATGTTTGCTCAATAAATTGAAACTACATAGACTTTAGTAATTTTCAAATCCAAAATAAACACATTCCAGCTGCGGAGGGGGACTGAGCTGCTCTGGCCGGACTGGCCGGTCGGTCAGTCAGAGCACTGCCAAAGCCAAATCAAATGTGCAGCTGCTAATATTAAATGTACACAAACGGAAGAGTTAATCCTTATCGACAATTTGACATCAGCAATTTTCGATGCTTTTGCTTTCAAATAACGGAAACCATTAAGTTGTCACATGCACATGCAACTCTGCCACAACAAAAAAATAATATTAGACTTTTCTGCTGGAGCGTGCTCGATTCGTAGATACCCTGCATTCGGAATGTATTCAGTATATCTGAATCGAATTTCAATATGCAAATATTTTACTTAATTGACGACTTAAAATCCATAAAAAAATAATAATAAAATTGGATAATACATTTTGAATGATGAAACTACATTGAAATATCAGCAGAATGTGTTTCCATTTGTTTCTGTATGCTCCCTGTTCCCCTGCTCTTGCGGTTCTGTATAGATCCAGGTTGCAATTTTTATGTTGATTAGTTTCCTAGTCAATTAAGCCGTCTGTTATTCGAATATCATGTTTGTCAGATCTTCAAAATGTAAATTGAATTTTATACTGAGTAAAGAATATGAAGTTTACTTGTAAAGCACTGGATCTTACAATCTCCGAGATCCTGGCTTGATGATGTAGTGCTTGCGTTTTCTTCGCACATTTGCCATGTTTATACCCTTTAGTCCACTTTGAAAGCCGCAGGGTATAAAAACAGAACCGAAAGGGCGGCCGCTCGTATATCAGCTGTGAGGGAATAGGAAAGAAAAAAGGCTCTGCGAAGTGGCGGCAGGGCTGTGTCCATTTTCAAATATTGTGGCCAATGTGCGTGTGTATGCGTGTGTGTGCTTGTGTGTGTTTGTGGTGTGGGTGTGGAGCCGCCGAATGCCACAAGTGGTCATTCAGACAAATGGCCAAATGGCGGCGCTCATGAATAATTCAGATTTTAAATTGCATTTATGCAAATGCCATGCGGATGCTTGCAGATTTTCGCCACTGGCTGTCGCGAAACGGAGGCGTCACTAGCACCAGCACCAGCAGCAGCAGCAGCAGGAGCAGCAGGAGTAGGAGCAGCACCCGTTGCCATGACCAGCTCCTGGTGACGCATTTGCAACTAAATGCCCCGAAAGCTGCGAGTTTTTCGCTAATGCACAATTTGTATGCGTCAACACTTTCGTCAGAGCCGACGAGCAGACAAAGGGGGGTGAGCTCCGGGTTGCATTAATTTTTATCAACCCAAATATCAAAACGGCGTTGATAGCGCCGAGGAGCAGCGGGCTTAAGACCACCGACAAAGCTTGTGCTTGTGCTGAAACGCGTCCCGGAATGGAGGCCAAGTGAATCAGTGACCCGGCAGGAAATAAAATGGTCGTCAGTTCGAGGGCCACCTGTTTTGTGCTCAACTCTTTCGCAATTTGAGTATGTGTGTGTGTGTGTGTGTGTGTGTGTGCAATGCCAACTGCAGATGTTTTCCCTCTGTCTCTTCCTCTCTCCACTTACATCGCCATCGCCATCTCCAGTTGGAGTCTCGGTCCAGAAACTTGCAGATTTATTGCACAGAAACTTTTATTGCCTTATAGAATATGTACGAGAGTACGGGCCAAGATAAAGATGCAATCTGTAACTTGTTCGAGGGAAAAAAGCATTTGGCCAGCTGCTTCGAATAGTGCGGGTAATTGTAGTCCACCGGACGCCATTTGCTTATCCAGACGGAACATGAGTATCTGGTATCTGGTATCTGGTATCTGTAGTTGCCAAAGGCATTTAATTGCCACAAGTCTGTTCTCTTAATTAGCTGTTAGTTGCCATTAGCATCTGTAGAAACGATTAAAGGCAACACAGATGCTGCTCAAAGGTTAAAGCTTGGCGACATTTTCTTCTTGTTGCTTGCGTAGTTTCCCTCAACGAAGCTCTTTGTGGAAGGACACCTTGAGAGAATGAGGCACCTGATGCATAATTTGATGCAACTGTTTTTAGTTTGAATATCTTATTGCACCTGGGAAAAGTAAATGTAATTTTTTTAGGACTATATTACAAATGCTTGAAGTCTTCTGAATTCGACCTAAATTTAAATTGATTTTCTAAAAGTATTTTAAATCTTCTTGGAATTTATTGAGAAATATATATTAAAGGTCTTGAATTAGTTTTCAACCTTGCTTAGCTAATTATGGATTATACTAATTCAAATTCGGCTTTCACAAAATCACATTAGACTAATTGAATTTTGAGATCAATTTCTCCAACGGACTGCTAGTCTAAAAAGGTTATCGCTTTGGCTTTGTCGTTTATATTTCGCTCAATTTAAACTATTTGTAAATAAACACAAATCAAAACAAACCAAAAAACTATACAAATAAATAAGGACATTTGACTAGGGCAAAAGAAACATTTAAAAATTTGAATGCTACATATGTAAGCATATCGGATTCCATTAAACTAAATCAAAGGTTTTACAATCATCCCTTGTAAACAACTTTCAGCTCAGTTCCGTTTCTGAGATGTCACATACATAAATCTTCTTGGGATGATTTTAAATCTCTGTTCTATGAAAACGGCGGGAGTGGGCGTGGCTGCAATAGTTTTGACACGATTTTTTGAGCAGCTTTTGAGTACCCTAATTTAAAATAATTTGAACATCTCGTGTGAATATGAGTCTACATTCCGCATGCCTACACATGGCCCGACATCTCCATTATAATATATATGCTTATTTCTCCGCCCACCTCGTTCTCTTATTATAAATCGATTAAATAATAATCAGTTCACGAATAATGGGGCGGTTTTTCCTCTTCTAACAAAAATCTATTCAATTAAAAATTACGTTAATTGTTAGGTTTTCGTACTCGCTTACTTGTCCGGCATTTTGAATAAACTTTTACATTTTTTTCCGTTGAGAATGCCAAATCTTTTCAAGATGCATGAAAAACTATCGGCTAAATGTTGTATGGAACGTTATGGGAGAGGAACATCCCATAAAGATAAAAATATTGGCACGTCAAAATCTTAGGCAACAGATTAAAATACGATAAGAGATGCTAAATGCTGTTAAGTGTGAATTGCCTATTGGTTGCTATTAGTGGCAAAAATCTCAGTACATTTAACTAGACCATCGATATAATACAAAATCAAAATTATCGGTGCAGCCGATAACGATATACACAATCTTCCATCTCTAGTGCATAGCAAACTTCAAACCTAATTGCTTCGGTTGGTTTACAGAACTGTGCTCAATCGTGCGAGGCTTCAAAATGAATGCATGTACTCAGACACCACGTCGATTGTACGACACAGAAACAGATCGAGTGCTGCAATTGTTGACCGTCAAGCTGGAAAAGCTTGAAAGGGAGTTGCAGAAGCGAAACTCAGCAAGGAATAATAAAAATAGCACAACAAATGGACGGCAGCTTGTCAGGCGAGAAGCTCCGGATCAAGGAAACAGCAAGCAAAATAAAATTCAGATCGGACCAAATGGCACGAAGCTATCGAAAAAAATGTACCTGAGGATTGATTTGACTTCGTATCGGGATGCAACACGCGACTTGTGCTACATGATCTTCGGCAGGGAAACACTTGGTACTCATACTCTATCTGGCCGTGTGGGCCCCGGAGCTGTGCACAACAATATAAAAACCAAGGTACAGCTAAAGCCAGCTTTGGTTGAGGATATAGTACATCATATTATGAGTAAATTTGAGGTGCAGCAGAATCAGGTGTTGCATGCCATACGCCTGGCTTGCCGCAACTCGGCCAGGACTCTGATGGAACGGAAGAAGGATAAGTGAGGTTAGGTTGTCTTAGGAATTTGCTGGAAAATATGAGATTATGTTCATTGTATGTATCTTGCCAGATATTAAACATCATTGAACTGAATTGAAAGTTGCCTCGAAAGTCAATTTGGTTATCCTTAACGAGGGCTTAAATGTGGCCATCGCTTGGGGATTCACTCTCCCACTCGCTCTCTCTTGGAGAAATCAATCAAATGGATCTAATGGTCCCTTCGACAATAACTGTGTGGCCTCAACTTAATGATGCTAATCGGATTTGAAAAATAAGAAAGATACCAAGGACGCCGAAGTGCGTATCACTTGCCATAACAACGAGTAGGGTTTCCTCAATGGGCGCAAAGAAAAGGCAGAGCCGACAAAAGTGGAGGAGGCACGATTGTCCAACCGTCCACACACATCGAAGAAGGGTCGAGGATTCGCTTCTTGTTAGTGTAAACAAGCGTCAACCGCATGGAAATGGGCGCCGCTTTGTTGGCCGTCATTCGATGCGAATAAACTCGAATGCGTTGCGACTCGATTTGATATTCATTTATGCGCCTCGAAGATAAGCACTAAATAAATAAATTTCCACCCCCCGCCCCAAGTGGGATGTTGGGATGGACTGTGGACTGAGCAAATGTAAATAAATGAGTGGAAAAATATGGTAAAAATTGAAGACAGACGCCGCTGGGTGAATCATCGATGGCATCAAAACGATTTAGTCTCGATTTACTTTATCGCTCGCCTTCTTTCTCTCTCTCTCTCTCTTCCTCTTATATGGCATATCTCTCTCTTTCTGGCACATTTTAAATGACAGCCAGCAGCTGTAAATTGTTGGCGGCTAAGTTTAAATTACATCTGTCAATCGAATCGAAAGCGAAACATGGCCTAAAACGCGTTAGTTGGCAGCTGTTATTCTGATTGTTGTTGTTTTTGTTGTTTTGCTTATGTTTATGTTAATGCACATATGTTGTTGCGAAATCAAAACATCATGAAATTGTTTTTCCAACATCATTTCCATTTTGCTTGTTGTTTTTGCCGGGCATATTTCCGTGCGTTTACAAAAAGGATATGAACAACATCCGGCGTTTGGGCCCATAATTTCTAACAACATTTTACTACTCATTGCATTTGACCAAGCCGACGAACCCAGCCAGCCAGCTAGTCAGCCAGCCAACCGATTTGGTTATTACAAACTCATATCTTGTGCTGTTGTTGCGGCGCATAACCAAACTGACCGCAGGGCAAGGGGCAGAGGGAGGATGAGAGGTAGGGCTGGAGAATTTGACCAATTTTGGGCGCTGCTAAAAATGCTCCAAAATTTGCATTTTATATTAACGGAAACAGTTGTTGCCTTTGAGCGCACACACGAGGCCGGTCCTGAACTAGCAGCTGCCCCTCGCACCCGTTCCGCCGCCCTCTACTTCAGCCCCTTGCAAGCCAATGTGCCCACTCCGGTTATTGCTTCAGCCGGGTGCACATTTCCCAAACAAATTTGACGCGTTTATGCATGTAAATTAAACAAATTTGATTTTAAATATCTTTTGGCAAAAGGCAACCAACCAACCATAACAAACCAAACCAGGCAACCCACCAGCGACCCGAACGGACACGAACCCTGCCATATGCACAGGCCAGCCTCATAAATATAAATCCCGCAATTTCAGTCCAGCCAAAGGAAATGCGAGCCAGCTGAGACGAATTTACTCGGCGGTTTTTCAATTTTCTGTGGTGCGAGTATATTAATGTTGATGTGTAAGGGAAACCACTTAGGAGGTGCCACATGGCATATGCGACCACTTGTTATGCGCAATTGGAAGCCAAAAAGAAGCTAGTAGACCACACAGATACCCTGTATCTGGCTCCTAGAAGCACTATTTCCCTACACGCACAGAGAAAAATTCTCTTGAATAAAATTGGAAGTTTTCAATATTTCTGAACCGAAAACCAAGCAGATAATTAATTTTTTGGATAGTCGGAATTGAACTTTTTCTGTTATGCCTTCTATTTCGAGTTTGTGTAAAACCTGTTCATACAAGAATAAAAATAAAAGAATCAAATTATATTAGTTTTCTTTCAAATATGATATTAAGCTGATGCGTTAAAGTATCAGTATAAAATATCAGTAAAGTGCAGACTGTGAAAGCAGCTGAGTATTATTATCAATAAAATAGAAATAGTTCTATATCAGAAAAGGGATCTTAGGTATTCATTATAATATCAATGCTCTTAATATTACTGCTATGGAGTAATACTCAGCAGTGTATGACATGATTAAATACTATTTAAACTTATCCATGATTTCGAGCTTGTCTCTTAAAGTCACATATCTAGGTTCAAGCGGCATGAGAACTGAAATCCTTGTTAGTTAAGGTAATGGCTTTTGTAGAATGCAGCTTCTTGTTGGGCACTCTCGACTGGCATAGTTATTTATTCGTTACAGCAGCGTAGTCACAAGTACTTTATACTCAGGTAACGAAGTGCGATACAAACCTGTGTGAGTAGAAACTCCATACTTAATTCTAAACTGCGTAAAGAATACTTAACTGTACTTTTGCAAAGCTTTGCTGGGGTTTTAGTTAAGCAGGTGCTGAAATTTTCTATTTGACACTAATAAATACTTTTCGCTTACCTTATTTACCGTGCCAGAAATAGGAAATTCTGTGACGAAAGTTGGCACGTGTTGCCGCATCCACTGAACGGATTATGAGTCCAAGCCATACAGCACCCACAGCAGAGCCTAGGAGCTGGGGCCATGGTCAGGAGCTTGGTCGAGCGCCATGCGAAAATCGAAGAACATTTTAACAATAAAGTCAAACATACTGGGAACATTGTTGGCTGCACTTAAAAGTCCATTAATGGGCAGCATTAAGTGGACATTGTGTGAGTTTTAAGCACATTTGCTTCAATGTTTGCTCTGATCTGGTCATTGCACAAGTCTTGGATTAGCAAGAATTAAGCCAATAAACGAATGCTCGACTCTGAGATGACCTGTGCACAGCCATTGGCAAGCCGACGAGTCTACACTAGCAATAAAATATATTCAGTAAATAAATATAAGTATATACATACATATATAAATAAATATATATTTAGAAATATATATATATT